AAAAATCGTATGCAAAAAATGCTATGTTTGTCTGTGTGATTAAGTGCCTTTTATTTATTTTTGTGGAGAGGTTTTTGTTGGGTCACACCCAGAAGTGCTAGGCTTACTTGTGGCTCTGCACTCAGACATCAATCCTGCAGGGTCTCAGGGGACCATATGAGGTGGCCCGGTTCAAACCCGGGTTGGCCATGTGCAAGGCAAGTGCCTTACCCACTGTGCTCTGGCCTTTTGGGTCTGCACACACTCAGCCCATTAGTCTCAGAAATACAAACACATGGATGTGCCAAGATTCTCAAACAAATGGGGAGAAAGCCATTAGCTAAATCCATAAATCACCTCTTGGCTCAGGAAAGATTTCCATAGGCACTAAGAGAGAGAGAGGGGAAGCAGCTGGAAGGACTTTGGCCCAACATGGCGCTTCTTCATCTGTGACACACCTGCCTGTCCACCTCACAGGGGTGTGCTTCCCCATCCCACCTCCATTCTGGGATCGCCTGTGCTCCATGTCCCCCAGCCTCCTGGCTCCCTTCTCTCATAGTCCCCTATTCTCATAGCAGTTGTCCTGCTCTGGTGAGAAATTCCTTGAGGGCCACAGCTGGAATAGCAGAGACAGTTGTCAATATGCTGAAATGAAGGCAGTCTTGTCAGTGTTTCATTCATGGTGTCTCTCCCCACCTCTAACGGGGCCAGGAAGTTTGCTCTGTACAGCAGAGGGGTTGTCCTGCCTATGTGAGATTCCCCTTGACCTCCCGGCCCCCTCTCTTCTCCACTCAAAGAAGAGCTTCTTCTGACGGTTGTACCCTGGCACCTCTGGAAGCCCCTGAGCCCTGTGGAAATGTGAGATCTTAAAGTGCAAATCTCTGAACTGTCAAGGATGAGGTTGGTTTTCTCCCTGAGCCTGGGCAGTTTTACTCCAAGAACTCAGTCCTCCTCCTTTTTGGCTGCCCAAGTACTTTTCCCCAGAGACCCTGCATGGACTCTCTCCCACCAGGCACTGTCATAGCTAAAAAACGGACAAAAGTATGTCAAGCTGGAAAGAGGGAAATGAGAGAACTCTGGCTTCTTAGTCTGTGGAAGTAGCCAGCTGTGTGCTGGCTCAGTTGCCCGTGGGCTGGGGACCACTGCCTCTGTGTCTAATGGCTTATGATTAATTTCAATCGGATTGATTAATTGATTAATTAGTTGACTTTTATGGCCCCCAAAGGGCACTGAGTTTCATTCTGTGCTTTGGGCACTGTCCAGACTCCTGGCCTTTAGGTCACTCTGGAAAATAGGCCACAGCACAGCTCAGTCTCCCAAGCCTCTCCAGATTGCACGAAGGGCATGTTTCTACACTCATCTCGCTGTCAGAAATGGTGATAACAAAAATTTTGTCTTTTCCAGCCCATTAGGCAGGCAGCAGTGCCTCTGGTTTTCCAGTTAATAGGACTTCGTTTGTGGCTACTGGTTATTTTGGTTTGTTTGGGTTTAGGGCTACACTTGTTGGTTCTCAGGGATTACTCCTGACTCTGTGCTCAGGAATCACTCCTGGAGGGACTTAGAGGACCATATGGGGTGCCGGGGATTGAATCTAGGTCAGCTGTATGTTAGCCAAATGCTACCTACCCACTGTACTATCTTTCCAGTGCCCTGTTGGTTCTTTCTAAAAAATTTCCTGGGTAAGGTGCTTGCCTTGCATGTCGCAGATCAGGGTTTGATCCCTGCCATCCCATATGGTCCCCTGAACACCACTAGGATTGATTCCTGAGTGCGGAGCCAAGAGTGACTCCTGAGCATCACCAGGTGTGGCACAAAAACCAAAACAAAAAAATAAATAAAATATTTTCTCTTTTTTTTTCCTGTAAAGAGACCAGGTATCTAGATCTGCTCCAAGATGAACTGAGCTGGAACTCCCCCAATCAGGGGATATATATATGCATGAAGGCCCGAAGCATTCTAAACCTTTCAGAATTGTCTTTGCTGACCCATAGACTAATCTGGATCTATCCCCATCCCCTTTAAAAAAAAGTAATCTAGAAACCAAACGAAGTAGTTCAAATTGCAAAATAAGATAGAGATTAAAAAAATACTTAGAGAAGTTAAGCTAGAACAAGTTCAAAACATCTGATAGACAGCACACTGACCAGATACATCATTTGGTTCCCGCTGGCACTAGAGCAATCGATGGCACTCCTTGGTCTTCAGATTTCTCCACTCCTGCTGCCAACAGACTGACCATGGGGAGAACCTGTTCTAGACTGATGGAGGAGGAGGGAGTTTGCCTCAGGAAAGAGACTTCTGGGTCTTGGCAAAGTCTGGAGAAGTGGTCACTCTCAGTTTCTCTTGCTGAATTTAAGTGAATCATCTTGGTGAGAATACAAAGAAAATTGAGCCTGGGAGCATAAAAAATAGTGTTGGCCTTGCCACTAACTTATGCTGCTGTCCCCCTTCTCCCCTGTAGGGATTGTGCATTTGGCAAATGGGGGCCGTAGGCTGTGTAGCCTAGTGGGACTTGGTTGGGTTAAATTATGGCTCCAGATATGTTCATGTTCCGATTCTAGAATCTGTATGTCACAGCTAAAGAGACTTTGAAGATGTGGTCGCCTCCTAGCCATGAAGTGAGAGGATTGATTATCTCAAGGGGTCCTTTACAGGGGGAGAGCGGCCGTGGAGATGGCTCCAAGGGCCAGTGTATGTGCTTTGCATGCTGGAGGCCCACCTTCAATTCCCAGCATGGCCTGGTCCCCTGAGCATCACGGGGCACAGTTTTCAAACCAACCAAACCCCACATTCAAACCCAACCAAATAAGCCAAAGTGTGGGACAGAGAGGCAGGAGGGGATGCCAGGCCGAGGGAGAGGCGACTCTGGGAGAAGCTTCCTGTTGTGTGAGGTGGGGGGGTCAGTTCCTCACTGGCTGGCTTGGAGGATCAAAGACGAGGCCATCAGCCTGGCTGTGGCCCAGACTTCTGACCCGGGAACTGTAAGCTCAGACACAAGGTGCCCTGTGAAGTCTCTTCTTGGCAATTTGTTACAGTTGCACTGGAAAACAAAAGAAGGGTACCTCCAGCAACTTTGCCCCCTTTTCTGAGAATTTAAGCCCACTTTTGCCTGCAGTTGTAAGGGAGGGAGAGAGCCCTGGGACCCTGGAACAAGGATGCATGATCCTGGCTGCCTCCGGGGGGGGGCTGTGAGGGACTAGGTGAGGTCTTTATTTCACCTGATGGAAGGAACCTACCTAGACAGCTTCAGGGCCTCACCCATCGTCCTATGGTTTGAGAGCCCCGGGAGGTTGGAGCTCTCCTAATTGCCATTGTGGGGTGCTCAACACTCATGCTCTGGGGATGCCTGTTCCTGTCAGAGGTGGTGGGGGTGGGCACAGGAGTAGGGGAGAGAGAGACTGAATGGCAGTGCCGGACAAACAGAAAAGCCCTTGGACCTTCCTGTGCATCTGTGTGTAAGGGATTGGGTGCAAATGATCACAGCAAATGAGGCCAGAGTGATCATACAGGGGGCAGGGCACTTGCCTTGCACAGGGTCAACCCAGGTTTGATGCCCGGCATCCCGTATGGTTCCCCGAGCACATTAGGAGTCATTTCTGAGCACAGAAGCCAGGAGTGAGTCCTGAGCTCTGTCAAGTGTGGCCCTAAAACAAAGTCCAAAACCACAAACCATATCAGGATATTTATCTCGGCTCTGCAGGTAGGTTGCTGAGCAGTAGGTTGGCTGTACCGGTTTGGGTACAGGAACTGTCCCTGTGCAATAAGCCCAGTGCCATGTGGAACAAGGTTTCTGTCTGTTCAGGAAGCTCTGTCTTGCCTCAGCCGTCTTGAAAGGCACACTCCCTCAGTCACCCCCCGCCCCTGGCCCAAGTCCCCTCCAGCTTCTTGGTCCTTTCCCATTTGGACCTTCTTTCGGGTGTTGGCAAAAAGCACATGTAGCGCATATGCTGCCTGAGCCCATGTGCTGCTTGTGCCCATGTGGCGGAGCACATGTGGTGCCCGAGCACATGTGTCACCCGCATCTCCCCTCTTGAGACGTGTACTTTCATGCTTTCGTGTCCAATGTTAGGATGTGTGTAGGGGCTCTCTCCATTCTTAGAGGAGCCCGCGTTCTCTCTCGAGCGCGTTACACTCTTTCATTCTCTCCACTCACTCCCACTACCTCGCTCTTCTCCCCTTCAATACCTCCAAATAAAATCTGTTCTACTTCAAAGAAAAAAAAAAGCACATGTGACCTCTGGAGGGCCGAGCAGAGGTCTGACGGGGGTGAAGCAGTGGGTGCAGAAAGGCGGGCATGTGCGAGGGGTTGCAAGGGGCCCATGATGGGGCTGGGTGGTCAGCACAGAGGCAGGAGCAGGGGTAGGGGATACAGCTTTGGTTCCAGGTCTGGGCAGTGCTGTGTGCCTCTGCCCTCTCCACTGTCCAGCCCACACCCTGGCAGTGGCTTCTGGACCAGTGGGTAGGGAAGTGATTTCCACAGTGGTGGCCTATGGTTTCTGAGTCCCTTAGTACGGACTAGAAAACAAGCGGGCACTTTGTGTGGAGGGGGGCGCGACTGCCCCCCTGCCCTGTTTCTGACATCTGTGGGTTCTGAGCTGGCAGATATGACTCTTTTCATCAGTGCTGGGGCTCATGGGAGGGAGTTTAGGGCGAGGGTACAGACGACATGGCCTTTTCCACAAGACCAGCTTTTAATATGACTGTGTTGGAAGCACGAATAAATAAACGCCAAAGAAAATGGGAAAAACCAAACCAAACCTCGGAACGTCAAAACTGAAAGTCGGGGAAACGAAACACACAATTCTGATCTCCGACAGAGACATGAACAAAAGCCCCCGAGGAAACAGAACCCGACCATACAGGCGTGTCACAGGGAGAGTCAAGGACGAGGCACCAGGGAGGGGGGGACCCGAGACACCTCCAGCCCCGCCTCTGGGCCTCTATCACAGGGGCCTGGGCAGCAGGGGGTGGTGGTGGCCCTGGTCCCGGGGAGGGGGGCATATAGGGTGGGAGCAGGTAAGGGTCCGGGGTGGGGGGGGTCTGCGGTGGGTCAGGAACCTTCACGAACGACACAAGGACTGGACGTGGTGGACAGTTCTGCGGAGCCCCTCCTAATGGCGCAGTTCGGATTCCGTGGGGCCTGGCAGGGCCGTGGGGGGTGCGGCGTGAGCCCACCCTTCCCCCGCTGAGCGTTCATGTACGGAGACGCGGCAGCCGCGCCGTGAGGAGCGTGAGCATGCAGGTGCTTTATACATCTGGCAGTAAGATGTGATGACAGGTCGGTTCTGGGTCCGTTCCAGAGCGTGACGCACGGGACTCACTTCTCCGAGGAGGGACGCGCGCAGGGCCCGGCGCGGCGGGTCAGACGTGGCTGGAGCGAGGTCTTGGCAGAGAGTTGGCTATGTGTGCACGGGGGGCTCTTGCTTCTTCCGGTCGTCAGGGGCCATCCCGCCTGAGCCCGCGGCGCCCTGACCTGGGTCTGTGGGGGAGGGGATGCTGGGTGGTCGGCAGGCTGTCAGCAGGCGATCTCCTCCAGAGTCCCCAGGGCCGTCTGCAGGGGCACATTCACAGTGTGGCTGATGGTTTCGGAGTGGTTGGGCACCGTGTCACACGTGCTCTGGAGGAAGGGAAGCTGGGTATTGACATTCAGCTCACAAGACAGCAAATACCCCCACACCACCAGGTGCAGCCTGAAGGCTCTTGAGCATAACTGGGTGCTGCTTGGAGGGCCCTGAGCATCACTGGGTGCAGCCTGGATGCCCCTGAGCATCACTGGGTATAGCTTGGAAGCCCCTGAGCATCACTGGATGTAACCTGGAGGCCCCTGAGCATCACTGGGTGCAGCCTGGAGGCCCCTGAGCATCACTGGGTATAGCTTGGAAGCCCCTGAGCATCACTGGATGTAACCTGGAGGCCCCTGAGCATCACTGGGTACAGCCCGGAGGCCCCTGTGCATCACTGGGTATAGCTTGGAGGCCCCTGAGCATCACTGGATATAACCTGGAGACCCCTGAGCATCACTGAGTGCAGCCCTGGGGGCTCACGTCACTGCTGGATGCAGCTCTGCAGGCCCAGAGCACCACTAGCTGGTCTGGGCAATCCGGCACTCAGGGCCTGAGCATCGCCACATCCATAGGCTGTCGCATTGCCTTTTTGGTCAAGAATCACCAGGAGCACCGCTCGGTCTTCCTCCTCCCTGCCTTCATCCCCAAAGGCTCAGCTGTGGGCCAGATGCCCACTATCTGTGCACTGCTCCTCCTGCCTGGCATTTTCAAGCACTCACACGGGAGCATGGGACTGAAGGGACCTCATTCCCCTAAGAATTCTCACCACTGCTGGCTCAGATGCCCTCCCAGCCACCACCCAGTGCAGGGGCTCCCTGAGTTGTTTAAACATCTGTTTAAACAGGGGAGAACAGCTAAAGTTCTCCCCTACAGGGGCCCCGAATGTGTCCCCTGAAGCTGCACCTGAGTGATCTCGAGCTTTGGGCGAGGAGATGCAGCCTGTGGCTAGGTCTGGGGCAGACACATTGGTCACTAAAGCCAAGCAGGAGGACTCAGTTGCACACGGGCCTCTGAGTGAGGCTGGGCTAAGTCTGTGTGGGTGCCGTGCAGGGCAGGGAGACTGCTGGAGCTGGGGAGTGACACCTAGGCTGAGACGGCCAGGAGGAGACCTGGAGGGTGAGAGACTAGCGGGGGACCTGTGCCAGGAACGTGGGAGAGCTGAAGGAACAGGGGCTACATTCTGGAGGCAGAGGGGGCCCCTACTGTCTTAATCATGCAGTATGGCTTGCTTTCTGGGAGGTTCTGGCAGGCTCAGAGCTTCTATGACGGAGCAGATAGATACTCAGGGATGAGCTGTAACTTGCCCCGGGTCCACAGCGAGGAGGCAGGGAACAGAATCTAGAGCTCAGGCCCCTGGCTGGCTCCCCAGTACATGCTATCTGCTTGCCAGAGAGCGCAGGGCTAGGAGACTCAAGGCAAGATTTTAGCCCGGAAGATGATCTGGAGCAGAAATGGAGACATTTTTGGGGAAAGAGACTGGGTAGCTTTTGTATGCTTGAGGGAAGAGACTAGGAGGGTCTGGGGTCACTCCTGGTGGTACTTGGTCAACTGGTCGGCTGGTTCAAGCCTGGGCCTGGTGGTGCTGGGTCTCCAAGGCCACGTCCAGTGGTGCTCAGGGGTCTGGGCAGTGCTGGGGATCCATCTCAGAACCTTGTGCATGGCAGGCAAAAGCTCCAACCCTGAGCCAACTCCCCAATGCTGTTTCTGGGTTTGCTGGCTCGGAGGCACTAATGGCCTCCTCAGAGACCAGAGGTGCTGTTTGAGGAAATCCAGTGACACCAGAACTGTCCCGCCACGGCCCATCCTAGGAGCGCTCTGAGTCTGGGAAGGAGAAAGGTTAGTGTGTTTCTCTCTGGCTCCAGGAAAGGAGGCAGTGTCAGGCAATGGGTGGGGTGGGGCCTTAGTGTTCAACATGGCAGGTGCTATGTGCTCTGAATGTGACAGGTGCCAGGCAGACGTGGCAATGGGCTGACCGTGGTGGGAAAGACCTAGACTCCAGGCACCGGTACTGCGGCTGGCACACAGGGAGTTAGTGCCGGGTCAGCTCCACAGAAGCCCACCCCTGGGACCCCGTCAGAGCAGAAAGAGGACAGTGATGTCCCTGGGGAAGAAGGGAACAAACCCATCTCCCAGCGTGTCTCCGCTTGCAATGCGGGGAATGAAGTCCTGGCTGGGAAGGGCGACCCTGAGCCAGGCAGGACCTGGCCTGGAAGCACCACCAGTCTCTATAGCACACCTGGCTTATTAGGGGGACCTGAGACTCGGCATGCCCTTGGACCTGGTTACTGACAGGGTGCCTCTAACCAAGAGGCCTGGTGAGGCACAGGCCTCCTTCCTCCCCCCAGATCTGCTTTCTTGCTCTCCAAAGCCCAGCTCCAACCCAGGTCGCTCTTACCACATTCTCATCGTGGCTCCCTTCATCCTCTTCTTTGCCCAGCAGGTCTAACAGCTTCTCTTTGATCAACTGCAAGAAAAGCAGGCGGGGTGGGTCTGGCTGCAGAAGGGGACAGAGGTGGAGACTGCCCTCTGCTTGGCTCAGTGGGGGAAGTGCAGATAGTGCAGATTGTGAGGCTCTGGGGCACGGTGACACAAACCTAGGCAGTCCCCCCCCCCCCTCCCGCCCATGTATGGACGGCAGCCGCAGTGGCAGGGCAGGGTCTAGTTTGGGAAGGTGACAGGAGAGCCCTATCTCATACTGAGGAATTCCTTCCCTAGTGATGGAGAGAGTGAAGAAAGGACAGAGCTGAGAAGGGAGAGGGGGTGGGGGCAAGGGCACCCCATTCGCTTTCCGGTGCTGCCTCGGCCTTAAGGATGGGATGGTGAAACCCCACCAGGCCTGACAGGCTCCTGGCTCATAAGGTCAGGCCTGTCCGAACCCTTCCCAGGCTATTCTTAGCAACAGAAATGCAGTTATTAAATGTATTACCCAGGGTGAATTCATTTCCATAACTTTGTACAGCTTCTCACAAAAATTAATAAACAAAGCAGAACAAGATGTAGCCCGGGGATCGAAAATGAGTGTGAGGAATGCTGAGAAGTGGGGTCTGGCCCTGCAGAGGCCTGGGGTCACAGGCATGCTCCAGCTCTCTCTGGTGAGAGACTCCTTCCTGCTCTCAGGCTGTGTGTGTGGCTGACCCACAGTCCTGGGGCTCTGGAGAACCTGGAACTCGAAGGGATTCTGGGTGACCGGGGACCAGCCCAGTCTGGGGTGGCAGGTAGGGGGCTGACAGGCACGGACAACCTCAGTGCCAGAAGCCACTGCTGTCTGAGAAGCCACTGAGGCCCTGTTCCAGCTTCCTGGGAGGGAACACCCACAGACTTACACGTGGACACAATGAAGTGTCTGCTCTCTTGCTGCCGTTGGCGATGCTGCTGGAAAATGCTCAAACCTGTGGGGCTGTGCATGGCGACCATTGATGGCCACTGGAAGAAGGGGTATGTGTGGTCAGAGTGAGAGGCACGTGCTTCTGTCAGGGTATGTGTGAGTGTTGTATACCTGTGTGAGAGCTGTGTGTGTGCATATGTATAGTATACCTGTGTGATGTGTGTGTATTGTGATATACCTGTGTGTGGGGTATGTGTGTGTATAGCTGATGAGAGGTGTGTATGTGTGGTATACCTGTGTGTATGTGGTATACCTGTATGAGAGGTGCATGTGTGTGGTATACCCTTGTAAGAGGTGGACGTGTGTGTGGTATACCTGTGTGAGGAGTGCATGAAGGTTTTATATCTGTGCCAGGGGTGCATATGTGTGGGGTATATTTGTGTAATGTGTGTGTATGTGGTATACCTGTATGAGGGATGTGCATGTGTGGTATACCTGTGTGAGGGGTACATGTGGGTGTTATATCTGTGTAAGGGGTGCATGTGTGTGGGGTATATCTGTGTGAGGTGTGTGTGTCTGTGTGGTATACCTATGTGAGGGGTGCATATGTGTATGCTATATCTATGTGAGGGGTGCATGTGTGTGTTATATCTGTGTTAAGGGTGCATGTGTGCATAGCATATCTGTATGAGGGTGTGTGTGTGTGGAATACCTGTATGTGAGCATGTAGTATAATTGTGTGAGGGGTGTGTGTGGTATGTGCATATGAGTGATGTGTGTGTGGTGTGTATGTGTGTATGTAGTCTCTCTGTGTAAGAGGCGTGTATCTCTGTGAGTGGTATGGGCTGTGTGTGTGTGTGTGTGTGTGGTGTATCTATATGAGTGCTTTGTGTGTGGGAGTGGTATATGTGTGGTATACTTGTGTAAGGGGTGTGTGTGTGTGGTATATCCATGTGAGGGATGTGTGTATATGGAATACTTGTACGTAAGCATGTAGTGTAATTGTGTGAGGGGTGTGTGTGATATGTGCATATGAGTGGATGTGGTGTGTATGACTGTGCATGTAATCTTTCTGTGTAAGTGGTGTGTATCTGTGCTAGTGGCTGTGTGTGCAGTATATTTATATGAGTTCTTTGTGTGTGGGAGTGATGTGTGTGTGTATGTAGTGTAACTATGGGAGTGGTGCGTGGCGTGTGTATGTGTATGTGCTTGTGGTGAGTGTGTGATACACCAGGCATGGTGCCAGCACCCCCGCCCAGCTCCAGAGAGCTGCTGTCACACAGTCAGTCACACAGGCTCTGGTTTCTTCTGTCCCTGCAGGATGGGCCCTGAGACAGAGTGCCCTCAGGGCCTCAGCACAGCACTGCATGGGGTGGGTTGGGGGGCAGGGGAAGGGGATCTTCTCATACAAACCGTGGAGATAGACAATCCCCAGAGAGAGGGAGGAGGAAGCAGAGCAACCCCCCTGCTTTGGTTCTGAACATTGGGGCGTCAGGAGAGCACCTCCCCGTGAGCAAGCCCCAATCTTACCTCATAAATATAATCAAAGAGCTCTAGTATTGTGAGGATACTAGCACCGATGAACAATCCCATCTGACCGCCAATATCACCTGCAGAGAGAGAGAGAGCGAGGATTATACTTGCCGCACACAGCCAGCTGCAGAATGAGGCCCGGCTTTCCAGGGCTGGCCCTGCCACAGCTCAGAGAGCCCTGGACACCAGCGCTCATCGGGACAGGCCCTGAGTGGAGGGCAGGAGGCAAACGGCCTGTCCGAGGACAACGGTTCTCCCCCACCGCAGGGGCCCTGCACTGGCCCTGGGCTGGACTAGAGACGAGGGGTTGTGGTCCTGGAGATGGGGTGTCAGGGGGCCTGAGTGGGGCTCTTGGGAGCAGTGGCCCCCCAAATGGCCCCACATCATATCACAAGCGTTAGGACTGCCCTGAGGTTCCTCTTACCCTTACATGAGGTCACAGGAAGCACCTCCCCTCCCCCACCCCTGGGCACAGGTCTTCCGTAGAGCAGAGAGCAGTCCTGGCTCCTGCCTCTTGACCACATGTTTCCTAGGTTGGCCTTCAGGGCCCCAAACCCCACTCGGGGGCACTTGTAAACAGTGGGTCAGGGCGGAATGCAGATTGTCTATTGTGTGTGCAGGGGACAGGGGCATAGTGTGGCACTTGTGTGGGGGCAGTCATGTCTATGATCCAGGGAATCGGGTCTTTTTCTTGTGTTTGACAAAGGACTCAGTCCAGGGGACAATCCTGCTTTCTCCTGCAGGACATTACTGTCCAGGAGGGGGGCCCCTGTCCCCTCTGCCTGGGGAGCACCCACAGCTCAGCTCACAAAGCGCCGGAGTCATGCTCCCCTCTGTGCACAGAAGACCATGGAAGCTGAGGTCTTTTCCAAACCAGAGGAGAATCCCAGAGGATGCTTACAGCCCAGCTGTCCTTGTGTCAGTGGGGAAACTGAGGCCAGACTGTGGCAGGAACCAGGCTCATATCCCCCACCAGAGAGGCATCCTCCCATTTGGGGGTAGGGGTGTACCAGGAAAGGGGAAGGAGCCAGTGGCCTGGGAGGCTTGACTCCTCAGGAGGCTCGTCTGTCTGCCCGGCTGTCTATCCATCCCCTGTCCACCTCCACGAGTTGTGGAAATCTGTATCATACCGAGTAAGGCAGCGACTTCATACGCCTTCTTCTGTTCAATTGTCTCATAGTTGAGGGCTTCAAAAAATATATCCAGAACCAGGATGTTCTCTCTGCAGAGGGGAAGGGTCAGGACCAGACATGGTTAGCGTTCCCAGCAGGAGGTTTGGCGGGCAGCTTTCCCACGGACACTCAGGGAAACTGAGGCCCTGGGGACTGGAGCAAGCAGCCTGGAGTTAGAGCCAGTTATAACAGAGCTGGGGCTTGGACCTGAGCCCTCCCTGAGACCCAGAGCCCCTTGCAGGCTGGAGGTGTTGACTGGCCACTCTGGATTGTTACCCTGCTCTCTCTCTGCCCCCTCTGCAGGAGTCCTCCCCAGTCTCCCCACTTCTGACTCCCTCATAGGGTCAGCTGAGTCCACCCACGATCCTGAAAGCCCCCAAATTCCTACTGGGCTCCATAGAGTACATCTCTCCAGCAAAGACTGGTAGGAGCAAACCTCTCTGAGGCTGGGGGTGCCCACCTGCTGGAGCAGGGGTTCAGTGGGGTCCCACCTGTGGAAATGAGTGGGAGCAGCCCCCGATTCTGCACCCAGGCACAGTGCCCTCCATGTCCCCTTGAGCTCAACCTGTGGACCAAAACCATCCCTTCCCACCGCACACACAGTATTAAAGACAACACTGCTAAATTGGGCAGAGAGGGCTAGGAGGGTGTCTGACGAAGCTGTCACTGAGCCTCAGTTCAAGTGGACACAGATGCACGGATGTCCCAAGGAATCAGCTGGAGAGTGAGAGGCAAACCATTCCAGCAGAGGGAACAGAATGGGCAAAGCCCTCCTGGACATCTATTTACCCTAAAAACAAACTCTGAGGCTCCCTGGGACGACATCCCCATGCACGGTACAGCCAGCACCCCCCCCCCCCCCCCCGATCGCCTTGTCCCACCCCAGTCAGCAGAGCCGCCAGTCCCAGATGTAAGCAATTTAAAACAGGGACAGCAGCACCTAGGTCACCTTTGTCTCTGTATTCTGAGTGCTGAGCCCAGAGCTGGGCACCGGGTGGGTGTTCAATGGCCATCTGTCTGTCTGGGGAGGCTAATGCTCTGCATTATTCTTCCTGAACTGCTCCCAAATTGCCACCCTCCATTCACTAATCCATTCCCGTCCCCCCCCCCCCCCGCCCATCCCACTCCAGTTTAACGACCAGGCCTGCTTTGCCTGCTTTGCTTACGAGATATATTTCTCAGATTTGTTAAATTTCTTCTCTAGGTACTTGGCAGACGTCTTGCTGGGGATCTTCACCATGGAGAGCTCTTTGTTGTAGCGGGTGAGGTTGCAGGGGGTTCTGCAGAGACAGTAATTACTGTCCTTTTCCGCCAGCAGACCTGGAGAACAGAGGGAGGTGGGGCTTAGCCAGGTTTGGACGACAGACAGTCATTCCTGGTAGGGGAGGCGGGAGGGAAGAGTAACACACCCAAGGGGGTGTGCTCTAAGGAGATGAAAGGGAGAGTCAAGTCTCACCATACGCCAACCTCCCTCCCCTGCCCCCCAGTGCTGGCTGGGCTGGAGATGGCCCAAAGACTCCAGTGCTTTGCATATGCGGGGCACCCTGGACTTCTCTGAGCCCCAGGTTCTTTCCCAGATCCCTTCACCTCCCCCCCAAAAAAAAGAAAAGAAAAGAAAGGGAAGAAAGGTGTCAACTCTCTGTTACTCAGTCTTACTTTCCTCCCACTTCCTCTATTATTATGACCCCTTGAGTGGGCACATCTTTTGGAGTTCTGGCCCTTTAACTCCCAGGCCACATCCGGTGGCCCTAGCCTCTGCGCCCACATCCACAAAGTGGGCTGTCCCTCGAGGATGAATGTGGCAGACTGGAATCCACCCAGAAGAATTACAAATTCAAAGCTGAATTTAAGATTAAACAACAACCAGAACCCCAGTAGGCTCTCTGGGCGGGGAGCTTGTTCTTATCTTGTCCTTCCCCTGAAAACCCCAAGGACAAGGACAGGTCACAGCTAATTCTGACTCTGGTATACAGGTAAGGTGGAGCACGCTCATGAAGAGGTTTCTTGATCAAATGCACCTTCCTGTTCTCTGTAAACAACTTATTTTCTTTTTAACTTAAAAAAATTAATTGGTTTATTTATTTTGGTTTATGGGTCACATCCTGTGATGTTCAGGGGTTATTCCTGACTCTAGGCTCAAAGATCACTCCTGGCAGGACTGAGGGGGTGGGGCAGGGCACTGTGTGGGATGCTGGGGGTTGAACCTGTGTCGGCCACATGCAAAGCAAACGCCCTACCCACTGGACTTGCACTCCAGTCCCCAAAGCTGTTTCTTGACACGATGCAGAGAGATGGTTCCTGGGAGGACTGGAGTCTGCCATCTTCCCTCTGCTAAAGGCCTCCCTCCAACGGTCCCTGGCTCTCTCAGTGGATTGGCCCTTGGATAGCAGAGGAACTGAACCTTCAAGGATCTAAGCCCACTTTATCTGAAACCTTCTGCCCCTTGATTTCCCCCCTGGCTCCCTCCTCCTCCATCGCTGGGTTAGGATGGCAGCCAAATCCCCCTCTGGTTCCCGTGGCAGGACTCTCTATCCTGGGAGTGACGTTTCCATCCCTTCTCTTCTGCCACACAGGATGGGGCACTTTCAAGTCCTCCCATCCCTCCTCTTCGCCCAAAGCCATGCAGTGCTTGTGTTCTTGTCGGTTCTTGGCTCCAACAGAGCCAATCAGCCACTCATTCCCCCTCCCCAGCATAGCCCCCCAACCCCAGCCCCTAGGATTGGGGTGTGTGCGTTCAGGGCTAGCCCTCCTTAGCTCCTGTGAGTGCAGTTGCTGAGGTTTTTGAGACTGGAGGACTGAGACCTTGCCCTCTGTCTGGATGAGAAACTGAGCTGGCCTGTGGAGGGTGAGGGGGCCGGCCATTGGTGAGCTCACTGACTGGTCTGCTTCTCCCTCACCTGCCGGTTTCCGGGTTCGGGATGGGGGGAGCAGAGCTATTCCAAACCATGCACCGTAACTCCCCCTGCACAAGCCCTCTCACTCCCTAGGCATGTCGAATCACGCTGGTTCTGGAATAAGCTTGGCCTCTGCATGTGAGCTAGAGGAAGAGACCCAGGAGCTGTCTGTCCCAAAGGCTGGCTGCTCTGTATCCCAGCTCCGACTCTCCTCGCCTGCATTCCTTATGCCATTCTGCCCTGGATCCCACACCTCCTCCACTTCCACTGGCTCCCCAGGTCCTGTTGCAGCCTCTGTCAGCTGTGTCCCTTGCCTCCTCCACCCCTTCCTCACTCCGGTCCTGTAGGGAAGGATGCATCCTGCCCTCTCTCCCCCGCACTCTTCCCCAGGCCCGCTTCTCTCTCTCTTCCCTACTCAGCAAGTGCTGGATCTCAGTCTTAGTCTCAACCCTGCCCCATCCCCATTCCGTCTGTCCTCCAGTACTGACCTAGGGCAGGTTCTGCACATTCCTTGTGCTGCTCAGGGGTACAGAAAGGGGCATCACCTGCAAAAAAGGAAACAAGGGAGAGATGCTCAGGCAGCAAGACCCCATCTCCACGCCCCACCCCTACCTCCCGTAGGCCCAGGAAGGCAAGGACATCCAGTGCCCAGAGGGAGCCATTGACAGAGTGGCCTGGGACACTGGGGGCTGGAAGATTTGGGTTCTCATCTGCTCTGTGATCTGAAAAGTGACAGCAAGTTGGCGAGGAAGGTACCAGAAACTCAGCAGGTGATGGGGGAGAAAGCCTGGGTGGCTGGCAGTGGGGAGACAGGGCCCACCCTTCACCAGACCCAGCTGCTCTCTGTGAAGTAGGCAATGCCATATTGGTTTTAACAACCCCCTCCCAGAGACTTGGGACTCAGTCTCCTGCCTTCTTAGGAGGCCTGAGCACAGAGCATAGAGGGGCTTGGACACCAGTCTGACCCCAGATCAGGGTGTTGCCTACTGACCAAGTAAAAGAATGCTTGATTTTTCATTTCCCCTTTTGTCCTGCTTAAAGCTGGGCAACTTCCCAGTACAGGAGGTTTCAGTTTGGGGAAAATGTACCTTTGTAAATGATTTGTAAATGATGTATGAGGAACAGCACAATCTTTGCAGATTTGTCAAAGCTATATCAAAGCAGGTCGTTCCGACCAATAGCATTAAGTCAAAAGGGTCACCAGGTGGCTGACCAACGGTGCATGGCTCTGCTCATTGTCCCATCCACTTTCCCACGTCCCATCCACTTTCCTTTCTTTTGGGTGGGCTGTGGAAACATACTTAAGTCTGTACCTATGCTCTGAATAAACGCACGCATTCATGCCATCTCCTGAATGACGGAGCCCTGTGTGTCTCGAGTGCGGCTTTCACCCTGACGGCCCTCCCCTGGCTCGGCCCCGCAGCGCTGGACACGGCACAGGGCTTGCTCTTTCTCATTACACCACCATTTGTGAGGGAGAGGGGCTTGTGTGAGTCCCCCAATGGCTTTGCTCTTCATTCCCACGAGTCATGGGTGTGCAGGTCACACTTTGAGCTGGGTGATTGTTTCTGCTATTTGCTTTGACTCAGACTGCAGGGAGGAGGCTTCACTGGCGGTTGACCCAGTCCAAGAATGAGGCACAAAACACTCCCCCCCCCCCCCCCCCCAGAACTCAGTTCTCATCTCTGGTCTCCCTGCCCTTCACCCTTTCTTTACCAGGTGCTACATGGAAAGTCATTCAGAGACTATTTTCCCAACCATTTCCCTATGCATTCTTTTCTTTATTCTTCTTCTTTTTTTTTTTAATTTGAACCACCATGACACACACACTTAATTCAATTAGACAGTTGTTCATGATTGGGTTTCAGTCATACAGTGTTCCTACACCCATCCCTTCACCAGTGTACATTTCCCACCATCAATGTTCCCAGTTTCCCTCCCCCACCCTAGTCTGCCTCTAGGGCGACACATTTCTTCTTTCTCTCTTTCTCTTTTCTTTTGGGTATTATGCTTTGCAATACAGGTACTTAAAGGTTACCATGTATATCATGTTTTCCTTTGGCAGAGCCTGGTAAGCTCCCTGTGGCATATTCGATATGCCAAAAACAGTAACAATATGGGTTTCATTCCCCTGACCCTGAAAGAGCCTCCAATATGGCACCTTTGGGGTGAGTAAAGAGAGGTTGCTAAAATCTCAGGGCTGGGACAAATAGAGATGTTACTGGTGCCCACTCTAGCAAATTGATGAACAACGAGATGACAGTGATACAGAGATACAGTGATCCTTTTCCTACTTCCATCACTCAGTTTTTGTCCAGAGTAATCATTTCCAACTATCATTGTCATAGTGGTCCCTTCTCTATCCTAACTGCCCTTCCCCTAACCCCCACCAAGTGGCAAGCCGTCCTCCTGGCCCTTGTTTCTGCCATCCTTGGGTATTAGTCTCATACCATCCTAAACATCCTTTCCAAGGCCTGTTGCTAAGCCTCCTCCTTCCTAATAATGGCCATTTATCTCATGTCTCTTGCTTTCTAGGAAGCTTGGGCCCACAGCTGCCCCTTCCTCGGGGAGGCCACTGACCTGGCATGTGGACCATGCGGCAGTTGCAATTTTCCACGATGTAGCGGGTCTCACAGTCAATCCGACAGGCGGTGATACTGTAAACAGGAAAGAAGTCGAGTCCCATCTCTGAGGACCGGCATTCCCCCCATGGTGGGGGCAGGTACGTGAGCTGCAAGACAGGAAGAGCAGATGCAGCAGTGAGTCCTGGCGGGTCCTCACAACAGACTCACAGCTCATTCACTCACCTAGCCAGTCCATGCACACGGGGCCTCTCCCGCCCGGCAACGTGAAGTTGATGGACCTCTCAGACCCTCTGTATCTCTTCCCAGTGTGTCTCCCTCTCTCTCGAAGTTCCCACTGAGGTTGATCTTTCGAGTCTCACACACACCCCTCACGCATGACTTCCCTCTGTAGTGCCTGGTCATCTCCTGCATCTTGGAATGATTTGGAAATGACCCAGCTAAAAGCTGCCCCTCCCCTCATGTCCTGGGACATTGAGATCCCAGACCTAGAGCCACAGGAGGAAACTGGGATGAGACCCAGGAGGAAATGTGTTTTCCATCATGACTGCTATTCATTGTATTATTAATTTTTTTTATAATGCTGGGGTTTGAGCCCAGGGGCTTCACACGTGCAAAGCAGGGTCTCTGTTCCTGAGCTACATCCCAGCCCATCATCACTGTTAATTCATGATTCTTGGCCCTGACTCAGGCAACTCCTGGTCATGCTGTGGACGAGGGCTCTGGGGGAAGATATCACTCTTATTTATAGGGTTTCAGTGAACATAAAATGCTCAAATGCTCTAATATTAGGGTGCTTGTCTCCTGGACTGACAGGCACTTGTGGTTGCTAAGCACTGGCTAGGGGTTTAATCCCAAACTAAAATCCTTTACATGTACCATGTTGATTGATTCCCTCCCCCCCCATCGAAGAACATGAAATAAAATTTTACATATCCTCAGAACACAGTTCAGCAAACTTAAAAAAAAAATGTGTACACTGTATGACCACCACTTCAATCAACAAATCACACCAGAAAGTTCCATCCTGTTGCTTTCCAATCAGCCCCCCACCTGCCCAGGCAATCACCGTAAAGGACTCACTGTCACTGCCTTTGCCAGAGGCTGGCTTTGCCCATTCACAAACGGAGGGACTCTATGGCCTGGAGCTTCTTTGGCTCCAACAATGGGTGAATCAGCTCATTCCCTTTTATTGCTGAACAGGGTTTCAGGATCATCTGTATGTGCTACAGCATCGAGGCTCTCCGGTAGGTGAAGAAGGCTACTTGGCCCACTACAAATTTTTCCTAGATAAGAAAATACCCTGACTAGCATTTACATAAAAGTCATTACGTGAGCATATATTTCAATTTTCCTTGGATAAAAACTAGGAGTATCATAAGATATTTCTTATATTGTCTAGACTGCTAGACAATATAAGAAACTGTTGTAAGGTTTGTGGAACTATTTTCTACTGTGAAGATACCAATTTTTATTCCCCCCCGTAGTGGAGAGTTTTGGTCCCTCCACTTCCTTGAAATTTTTTTTTTTTTGCTAAATATTTAAAAGCTTAGTCATGTTTTTGGTGAGAGATATAGTAGAGGTCTAAGGCACTTTCCTTATATTGACTAGTCAATTCTGATTTGAATCCTGCCACTGTAGATGGTTTCTTAAGCACTGCCAGGAGTGATCCCTGAGCACAGAGCCAGGATAATCCCCCCCCAACTCCCTAAAACTTATTATTCTAAAAGGTGTATTGTTGTAACTTATTGTATCATTATTTGTGGTTCTCTGGTAACTGATTACATTGAACACAATTTTCATGTATGGTCTTTTGTGATAGGTCTTTTGTCTACTAAAACAACTATTTTTTTTTCCTTTTTGGGTCACACCCGGCAATGCACAGGGGTTACTACTGGCTCTGCACTCAGGAGTTACTCCTGGCGGTGCTCAGGGGACCATATGGGATGCTGGGAATCGAACCCCGGGTTGGCTGCGTGCAAGGCAAACGCCCTACCCACTGTGCTATCTCTCCAGCCCCCTAAAACAACTTTTTAAAAAAGTTTTATGATTGAGATGAAAGAATTCATTGTACACTCTTTTTCAGATGTATATCCAGAGAGAAAGAGAAAAACATTTTCCATTCCTCTTAGAGTTTGTGACTTACTCCTTCACATTCTTTTCTTCCTTCTTTTTTAAGTGAAGAAAAATAGTTTTAATCGAAAAAAATTTAAAGAGGTGTGAGGAGAGAGAAATACATATTCAAGAGAGAACACGGCCTTGTCCAGAGTGGAAAAGCGGAGGAGAGAAAGAGACATATGTTCAAGAGAGAACACGTGCTTCTCCAGAATAGTAAAAGCCTCCTTTATTTTCTTAATGGTATACATTTCTCCTGTGTTTAAAATCAAGATTATTATGATATAATTTGTATAGAATAACTGCATCCATTTTGACATGCAATTCAATGAGTTTACAAATGTTTGCAGCTGGGGCTGGAGCAATAGCACAGTGGGTAGGGCATTTGCCTTCTGCGTGGCCAACCCGGGTTTGAATCCCAGCATTCCCAGCATTTAATGGTCCCTCAGAGCACTGCCAGGAGTATTCCTGAGTGCAGAGCCAGGAGTAACTCCTGTACATCACCGGGTGTGACCCAAAAAGCAAAAAACAAAACAAAAACAAACAAAAAAAAATAAAACCCCCAAAACAAATGTTTGCAGCCTTTTAAGGACCCTCCTTAAAGGCTGCAAAAAAGGCTGGAGTGATAGCACAGTGGTAGGGCGTTTGCCTTGTGCACAGCCAGCCCGGCCTAGCCGGGTTCGATTCCTTTGCTCCTCTTGAGAGCCAGGCAAGCTATGAAAAGTATCTCACCCACAAGGCAAACCTGGCAAGCTACCCGTGACGTATTCGATATGCCAAACACAGTAACAAGAAGTCTCAAAATGAAGACGTTACTGAGACTGCTTGAGCAAATCGATGAACAACGGGAGGATAGTGTTTGTGTTTTTGTAAGGACCCTATTAATGGGGATAGAGAACATCTCCATTAAACTCCCAAATACCCCCAACTGCAGTCCCTTGCCCTCCTCAGCCCCCAGGGAACAACTGACTTGCTCTCTCTCAGAGAAGAGTTGTTTTTTCCTGCTTTTCAGACCCCCCTCCACTTTTTATTAAATAACTATGATTTACACCATTATTCATAGTTGAATTTTAGACACAATATAGCAGCACAGATCCCATCACCAGTGACCACTAACTTCCCTCCACCAATGTTCCCCGGTTCCCTCCACTCCCCCCTCCACCTCTACTCCTTCTCTCCCACCCTCTCCCACCAGCCTGCCCTCTCAACAGGCACCTTTCCAAGTTTCCTTGTTCAAGTTTGGGTCTCTTGATTTCAGTGTTGTCGACTCTGTGGTTTGGCCCTTTGCTGCTCTTGAGTCTTATATGAATAGAACCATACAGTGTGTGTTCTTTTGTGTCTAGTTTCTTTATCTCTGTGTCAGGTTCGGGAGACTCATTCATACCTGTGTGTGTATCAGTAGTGTATTGCTTTTTAATGCTGAAAGGTCTTTCAAAAATAGTTATAACTCTTTATCTCCTTTTCCCGCTGGCTAGAAACTCGAGTATCATATTGAAAAGAATAGATGAGAGAAGACTTGGGCTCCTTGCTTCCTAAGATCCCTCGATCCTGAGGAGAAAGGTTTATTCTTTTACCATTAAGTGTGGAAGGCACACATTTTTCTTAAGAGGCCCTTACCAGTAGAAATTCTTTTCTATTCAAGTTTGCTGAGTGGTTTCCCTCTCTAATGAGCACTGACTTTTGGAAGACACATTTTCAGTGCCTATTAATATGACCACATGATTTTTCTCCTTTATTCTTTCATTTAGATGCATGGATACTACTTTACATTTTGGAGACAAACCCACTGGATCACGATTTATAACTTTTTTAATTAATTTAATTCACTTAATTCAAATATTTCTTATATATTGTTGTATTCAATTTGCTAACATTTTGTGGAAGATTTTTGCATTTATCCTCATAAGAGTTAATGTATTTATTTTTCTTATAATGTTCTTACTAGGTTTTGGTATTTGACATTGTGCTAATGTCATAAAAGACTTATAAAGTACTTTCTATTTCTCTGTTCAGCTGGTGCATATTTTGGTATCCTTCCTGTCTTAAATGAATTCACAAATGAAGACTTTTGGACTTGGTGACTGTGCGTGTAGATGTATGTGAAGATTTTAAAAATTAAAAATTTAGTTTCAGAAATAGATTTAGAGACAACATTTTTCCCCTTGTGCTTAGTTTTGGTAAGCTTTTTTCAAGGATTTTGTCTATATTATATAAGTTTTAAAATTTTTTAGCAAAAAATTGCATATACAATCTCTGACCAATGTTTTAAATGTCTATAGAATCCATAGCAATATCTCCTCTTTCATTCTAGATATTGGTAATAATTTTTTTCTGTTTAGGTACTGCCCTAACTTCAAATTTAATTATGTTTGAATCAGGAAAGATACTCTCCATGGCTTCAGTCCTTCCAATTTATTAAGATTTGTTATATGGTCCGGCAGAGTACACCTTGGTGAATGCCTTGTGTATCCTTAAAGTATGTGTATTCTGTTATTGTTGGTGCAGAGGCTTTCTTTTTTTCTTTCTTTCTTTCTTTCTTTCTTTCTTTCTTTCTTTCTTTCTTTCTTTCCTTCCTTCTTCCTATCTCTTTTTCTCTCTCTCTCTTTCTTTCTCTCTTTCTTTCTTTCTTTCTTTCATTCTTTCTTTCCTTCTCTAACTTTCTCTCTTTCTTTCTGAAGAAATTTGAATTCATTTGCATTTCACTTAAATGTTAATATGGTTGATTTTGAAGTCTACCATCTTGCTCTTCATTTCCTAATTCATTTCTAGTGCTTTTTCCTTCTTTGTTCTCTCCTATCCTAATCCTTTTAGGTTAATTGAGTTTTGTTTTAGCAAAACAAAACAAATGTCCTATTTGTTTTTGATTTATACCTCTTTTGAATATTATTTTATTATATTTTATTTTATATTTTATTATATATTATTATTATACCTCTTTTGATTATTATTTTCAGTTCTTTCTTTCTTTCTTTCTTTCTTTCTTCTTTCTTTCCTTCTTTCCTTCTTTCTTTTTTACTTTTTGGATCACACCCAG